GTTCCACCCCGGAAGGACACAGTCAACTTGGCACCATGCAACCACGAAGAGGCCGATACTAGGATGATGGTTCATGCAGCTGATGCCTTGGAATGTGGTCATCGGCGAATACTCATTTGTACCGTCGATACAAATGCTGTCATCCTTGCAGTTGCTGTAGCGAATGAACGGAGTGAGGTACTAGATGATCTATGGCTTACTTTTGGCATAGGAAAGAATCGACGTTACATAGCAGCACATCAGATTGCATAGGCCCTGGGACCTGAGAAGTCGAGAGCTCTTCCAGTGTTTCACTCAATAACGGGCTGCGACACGGTATCTGCCTTTGCAGTTCATAGCAAGAAGGCAGCCTGGGCCACATGGAATGCATTTCCGGAAGTGACACCCGCCTTCGTCAGTCTGGCTTCCACCCCAAGTGAGCTGCCTGATGGTGTCCTGTCGACACTGGAGAGATTCATCGTGCTGCTTTATGACCGTACGAGCACATGCTGTGACGTGAACGTGCTGAGAAAGAAACTGTTTTCAAGAAAATCAAGATCACTGGAGCATCTCCCACCAACAAGAGCAGCTCTGGAGCAGCACATAAAGAGAGCTGCTTATCAGGCTGGACATATCTGGGGACAGGCCGCAATAGCGTTTGTCAGTCTGCCATCACCAAGTGATTGGGGTTGGACAAAGTCGGGAGAGGAGCTGGAACCACTCTGGACCACACTATCTGAAGTGTCAAAGTCATGCCACGAGCTCATCTCTTGCGGTTGCAGAAAACACTGCGGTGGCAAGTGTAGGTGCAAAAAAGCTGCACTTAAATGCACTGGACTGTGTGCATGTGAAGGTGACTGTTAAGGCCAAATATCTACAGAGAATCGGCCTCAATAGCCGAATGTTAAGAAAAAATTTTAAGTTTTGGGAGTTCGGAAAATTTGTATGTCAATTTTCCAGTGTAATGCTTTTACTTGTCTTTTTCATTGTAATAAACTTCGAAAACTATCACAAATGATTTTCGTAACCCGGATTATGTATATTGATGCATTGGAATGAAATATGCAACTGTAAAAACAGAAATACATAGTTTAGCGTATCCTGAACGGCGGCCATCTTGAAATTCAATATGGTGCCCACAGAGGTTGAGTTTCTAGTGGTTCCATATCTGAAAATATTCACCACGTATTACTCTATATCTGTGCCAAAGTTAATGCTTTCATCATAAAATGCACAATTGTTTGGCTATGCCGCTGTACTAATACTGCTGGCGACCAGTTAATACACGATACAAAGAACATTGACGAGAGAGCTACAAGTGGTCGTGTCACTGTGAATATGTGGGGATGGATGTGGGCATACAGACCAGAGGAGCTGGTGGTGTTGGAGGGAAGATTCACGAGTGACGACTACATTCACATATTGGAAGAGGTCTTTTTACCCACTGTCCGAGCGATGGCAATTCCTGACCCGGAGCCAATTATACTTGTGCACGACCACAGCCCAGTCCATACAAGCAACACTGTCAACTTGTGGCTCGATCAACATCCTATGATTCAACCTATAAACTGGCCACCCAAAGGTTGTGACATAAATCCCATAGAAAACCTATGGGCTATCATAACTCGCAACTGGGATTTTGGCGAAGAACGGAGCCGGGAAATTGTAGCGCGACATGCTAATGAAGTGTAGGAACGACTGAGACGCCGACCTAATATATGCTTCAATCTTGTGGAGTCCATGACAGAGAGGATTAATGAGGTAATTAACGCACATGGCGGCTGGACATCTAATTAGATTCTTGCGCTGGTCCTTTACCTTGATGTCAAATGTAAATGCATAGACTACCTGACTACATGTTTTCATATCCTACATATAACTTTCGAGTGGAAATTACTGGAAATTATTGGGAATAACATGTCGGGTAATTGGGTTATGGCCAACATTTATCAATACCTGTCTACAAATGTCTACATGTATAAGTCTTTCTGTGATGCAACATTATGCATCATCATGTGTTCCATGTAATCCATGTAATCCATGTAATCCATTGGAGCAACGTCACAAGTGGAGTTCCCCAAGGCTCAGTACTTGGACCATTATTATTTACTATATACATAAACGACATAGATATCGGCATTGACAGCAACAGAAGTAAATTTGCTGATGACACTAAAATAGGACGTGTTATCAAATCTGACGAGGACTCGGCAAAACTACAGGAAGATCTAAACAAATTTTTCGAATGGTCTGAAAAATGGCAGATGAAATTCAACGTCGACAAATGTAAAGTACTCAGTATAGGAGTTGTAAACAGGGAAACCAGATACCAGATGAACAACGATGCCATAGAGAAATCCGACTGCGAGAGAGATTTAGGAGTAATGATAAGTAGGAACCTTAAGCCAAGTAAACAATGTGTTTTTGCTCGTAACAAGGCTAATAAAGTACTTGGGTTCATACAAAGGAGTGTTAGTTACAAGACTAGCGAGGTCATCCTAAAACTGTATCTTGCTCTTGTGAAACCACACCTGGATTACGCATTTCAGTTCTGGTCACCGTATTACAGAATGGATATAGAATCCTTGGAAAGAATTCAGAGGAGAATGACAAGACTAATCCCGGGCATTAGGAACCTTGAGTATAGAGACAGGTTAAAGCATCTTAATTTGCACTCCCTTGAGAGACGTAGAGCGAGGGGCGACCTGATAGAGGTGTATAAGTGGAAGTCAGGGTTAAACAAAGGGGACATTACAAAGGTACTCAAACTATCCAACCAGGAGCGAACTCGTAACAATGGTTTTAAAGTAGACAAATTTAGATTTCGGCGTGAAATAGGTAAACACTGGTTTGGAAACAGAGTAGTGGATGAATGGAACAAGTTACCAAATATCATCATTAACTCGAATACGCTGAATTGCTTCAAACATACTGTAGGTTGGATGCTCATATGAGCAATAGGGGTTGGGTGTAAACGGGACTGCCCAGTATGGGCCAATAGGCCCGCTGCAGTTTCCTCCATTCTTATGTTCTTATGTTCTTATATAGGTTGTCATGTCGTATTCATCTTTGATAATGGAATACTTTGGGGAAGGAATAACGATGAAACACGTTTCATAACGTGTGTGTGTGTGTGTGTGTGTGTGTGTGGAATCTTATGAAACGTCGTGGTTATGATAATATAAAGCGGCGTTTGTCAGTAGTGATAACATGTAATATCTCACCTCAGTTTCCTGTCGCCTAATACAGAGAACCGAATGATTATGATGACATGACTATTTGCTGGTGGGTGTATAGCTTGGGTTCATCACCTTGCGTAACACCTGCGGCTATGTTTCCCTCACCCCTTTACCAAAGCTCCACCACTTGTGGGAACAAATGCTCTTCCCGATATTACAGCGACGTCACCTCATGCCTCCATGCACAGGCCAACCGGCCTATTGCAGACTCCTTATTTTCTTATGTAATACCAGACATGGTCTGTATATCCTGATTTGTTAGGAGAGTAAACATACAGTAAAAACAGAGCGCTCTGTCTTTCATTCCGATGTTAATTACGTGATAAGTTCTCCACTCCCTGCTACCCGGGGGAGGAAGTGTGGTAGGACGGTGGGCAGGGGGCGGGGTAGCACGTTGTCATTGCTGCTAACGCTTCTTACATGTTATAGGCTTGTTTTATGTTGACGATACATTTAAATATATATTACAGATGTTACATCATGTGTAATATCACAATTGGCACCTTTACGTTGCGATAAAATACTATACTACATTATTAACAATAACTACAGCACTCTCGTCCTCCACTGCTCTACCTCCACCCCAACCACTAACCCCCCACATCGTATGGTCCTCGTCAACCCATACTCCATCTCACAGTTACCAACCTTCCCAAACTATCCCTGCTGCTTCGACCTACCTGCTTGAATATTTACGGGGTTCGGAACGCAGACACGACTTTTTTCGCTGACTGTACCGTACCTACTTTACTTCTAGGAAATCTAGGTGAACAGGGATCAATAAGTATGTCCAAACTACTTTTCTATCGGCCCTGGATTCGAACCCGTGACATCTCGCTCGCTAGGCAAGAGCGGTACCGCGTCTACCATCGACGCCCCAAACGGATGAAAGTCTTTGATTCATTGGCTTATGACTCATACTCGGCGAATGCCACTCTACCCCGCATTACAGGTATTGATGGTCCGGCAGGTCATAGATGCCGTACTACTTAAGGTCAGAATAAGGAACAAATTTCTTGAAAGTATATTCTTCGTGGCAGAAGGTATTTGTATTCCAGGTCATTTATTAGTAGGTTACCCTGCGATGAAGACCTTTAAAATATTAGTTGTTCCAAATGAGTCTTTTTTTTTCTTCAGAAAACGATTTATTTATCCGCTTCTGTTAGACACCCTACTAATACAGCACTCACTTGCACTCACTGATTCACCGTCTGCAGCATTACACGTTCCTGTTCATAGTAATACACACTGAAAGGATCCCTTGACTTCGGAATGTGGATGACAATAAAACCTGATCCCTTATTGCTTCTCAGAATTTTGTTTAAGTAAACTTGCACATAATATCTACCTTCTCCTAATCAGTTAACCAAAGCTGAAATTAGATGCAGATTGGTTAGAGACATGTGGTTTAAATCCTATTAATCCTACTAATTTGCTTTCGAGAACCGTCTTTAGTCACAGCGGGAGTGATTGATATAGACTGCTCTCTACATTGAAGTCATGATGGTAATGCGGTAATTTACTTGGCCAGTAAACTTCCCTACCCTCAACGACTCCGACGTTGAAGGTAAAAGACAGGATTCCATCAGATCTTAGAGTCTTGACTGGAAAGAGCAGTAAACTTTGGACGAATTTAACAATCACTTGCTTGATTGGTATGAGGAGGATGTGTCATAGAGACACTGTTACTAGGATCAAGAGTTGAACAAACAAAATAATGATTTGGGTGTGGCAAGGATAGCATTGCGTGTGATATGTTTAATAAATATATTAAATAAATTC